ACAAAAAGTGAGCGGGTGAAGCTCGCGTTAGCCTCCGCTGCGGACCGCTGTGTCACTCCACGTGAGGTTGGCGGTGATTGCCCACCGCCGGAAAACCTGCGCGCTAACCCCCACTGTTATATCACCACCGCGTGGGTATTTGGTGATTATCTAATAAGCAGCCTGCCGACCTTACGGGGCCACTTGCCGAGGCCGTGCGTCATTGGCTTTACGGATCTCACGCGGCTCTGCGAGCCGTGCGGACTGGCCGCTTGTGAGGCGGAGACGTTTGTCTTTCGTCGTCCTGGCGCTCGGGAAGGCTGTCGAGCGGGGCCCCGGGTGGGCAGGCCGCGTGTCTTCTAGATTCATAGAATCACCACAGCAGGCTCGTGTCCGGGATCAACGGCCATGTTCTGAAGCAATGACGTAATGCAGTACCCGTGACGTCACGCTGAAACGCAGTGACGCAAAGCGCACACCACGATGCACGCCCGGATATCTGCAGAGCAAGCATCATAGTGCGTGGTGTGTAGGTGCCTCTTATCCTACGATTGGAGCTTGGGTGAAGGGTATTTATTTTCCTGACCAGCAGACATCTGTGGCCTGGCTGCTGCGTCTTGTGCATTCGGTACAGAAGATCGTCCACCCTGAGAAAACATTTTCCAAAATCGTTTTTTGGCAACGCTACCATTCCAATTGGTGTCATTTTCCGGAATCAAGGTTGAAAACTCGCGAGAAGCGTTTTTATTCACTACGAGAACGACCTGGAAAGATAAATGGAGTATATGAAAAACTCCAAATACATAATGGGGGTTGTAAAACATTCTTTTGAGTCAATATTTATGAATGAGAGATGTAATTTATATTTTAATTTGCGTCTTCAGTTCGCTTTCCTTCTATAATTTTTTTTATGAATACATTTTTTTTTGTGTATATTTGCAAATATGTATTTGCCCTGCTCGTGCGCCTGGCCATGGTTTTAAAATTGCACGGTAGGAAATAAAAAAATAAAGTTTGCATGTCCTTTTTCATTGCATTGCATAACCTATGTTGCAATTAAGCTATATTTTACTCAGATTATAAATGTTGTGAGTTTACTCTTCAACACACCGGTGTGCTGTCCTAGTAACGAATTGGTACGTGCTGTTTACGTGCCAAACCTTCCTCATTGGCTATGTCAGGTGGTGGCGGGTTTAATGACACATTTATATTTACACGATCTAACCCAAAAAAACCTGTATTATGGATGATATTGATGACGAAAGCGTACGTGTTAAACTAACTAACCCATATGTATATTTTTAAACGTCATTTACAGCGAGCCCCGGTAAATCAAACGATTTAAACGTTTTTTTTTTATTTTGCCATGTAAGGCCCACTGAGCTATACAGCTCTTTTTCAGAAGCGACCTGGCTACAAGTGATAGCTCAATGAAGTGGCTCATCACGTGGAAATGTAACGCAGCCAAACACTCTGAACGCGTGTTGGTGATTAGAAATATGGACAGAAAAACTGGAGTACTCAAAGAAAAATCCACGCGACCACAGGGAGAGAGACACGCAAACTCCTAATATACAGGCATTAGGGTCGGGATCGAACACACGGCCTCCTGTATACCCGGCGAGGGAGTTAACATCTCGTCACCGTTTCATCCGTGAGATGGAGCGCGCTGGCCGCTAGGGTGGTGAGCTCCCGTTGAAATACGGGTCGCGACCCCGAGCCAGCTCGCTTCTGACATTCTGTATTACCCTTCTCCTCTTCCTCCTCTGTGTTTAACAAGCTTTAACAGCTTGTGTTACTGCACACAGTCACACAGGAAAAGTCACGTGTCCTTTGCCTCTCGTTTTTTTATTGCTTTGTATTTTTTCCCCCTGCTTTGCTTATGTTGTACGTTTGTAGCATGGAAATGAGCGACTGACTAGTTTATTATTATTAAACGAAACCTGGTATGGCACCGTGCGGAAAATGGCACCGGCAAGCCGATATGAACTTCAAGTGGCCTGCCAGACGTCCCGCGTATTCATAGTTGGTGCTGGCTCAATGATTTACTGAGATCTCCAGCGCAGTGGGGAGACTTCTACGGCATCAGCATATTCCTTCTCGGTGTGTTTACCGCTGTGGCATTGCCCACCGCCCCCTCCCGCTCACCATCTCCCGCCCCCCCCCTCCCACATCATTCAGTTGATGCACTCTTTAAGGAAAGTGCAGACTCCGAGGGGCATGGTGCTTTAGTCACATGCCCTAAAAAAGCTAGGGGTTTGCAATTGGTTTCATCAAGCAAAGTGGCTTGAGATTATGCTGAGAGCCCTTGGCTTTGGCTGAAAGGTCCCGTAATGTGGATACGTTGATAGATGACTTGAAAGGAAATGTAGACTAAATGCTGATTTGCCTGTTTTTTTAAAGAATGTACAACTAAGTACAGAACTGCTCAATGCTACAGCAAACGTGTATAATTCTATAATCGAGGTTTTTTTGGGTTAGATTGCGTAAATATAACTTGGTAAGGTTTGTCAACGTCAACAAAACTTGCCAATTGGTTACTAGTTCAGCAGACCCGGTGTGTTTGAGAGTAAAGCCACAACATTAGGTTTACATGAAAGCAATGCATTATTTATCCATTGTTTAATAGAGGCGAGCGTACCAGTGCTTCTGTTGAATTTAAACATCATGCAGCGGGTGAGATCATCATGATTTCAGGATGTTATTGGGCTTCAAATCTGGCCTACTGAGCCCAAGCCTCTTACGCTAGAGTCCTATCCTGACACAGCGATTCAAATGCAATGCCTCCGACGAGGGTGATGTCAGCATTTTCCCATCAAAAATTCAAGAGAAAAAAATAGAATTGATATTTTTTTCGGCATGAAGTCTGAAACCTTTACAACTCGCGCTACATGCCAGCTGGGTCTAATTTCTCCTGTAAAATTTCCGAATCCCCCCCCAACCCCCACTCCTCCCCCGGCACTCCCCCATTCCCAGCCCCCCCAGACCTTGCCCCGGGACTGCCCCGGCTGAAATGAAGGTCTCGATTCTCGCATTTGTTCTCTCAACGCAGAGAGGACAGTTCCCCAAATTGTGTTAACCGAATTGCTCGCTGTCCCCGCCTAAAATTGGTGGCAATTATTTTCAAGCAATTTTTTTGCGTTTGTGTTTGCTAATCACCCAGCAGTCTGTCTGCGTATGGTTGTCCTGGCTGATGTTACCGTCAGCCAGCAGACTCCGGACTCGTGTGGCCTGGCAGTGCTACCTCACTGCCACCCCCCCACCACCACCGTGCTCCTACACCGATTCCTCACGCCGCCTGTCTCCCCTCTGAATAGCGCCGCTGCCGCCGCCACTGCTGCCGCTGCCTCTGCTGTGCCGCGGTGCTGCTGCAGCCGTTTGGGGCAACTGGGTGGTGGCCTCCATCTTACTGATGCTGCCAGGCGTCCGTGCGACCCGCCTGGATTAGCTGCCGTGCCCCAGCGAATCACGCCCCCCCCGCCTCCGGCGAAACAAAAGCCGCTCGATCGATGAACAGTGCTCATCTAGTTAGGTTACGTCTCTCTCTATCTCTATCTACCTGGGCTGTACGGCTTGGAGTCGGTGACTCCGTGTTTAATCCACAACGCAGGGCAGTCAGCTGCATGAAGCTTTCAAACGACACTGGCCGATGCAGGACCACGATTCCTCTCCCCTGTCACAGCCAGTTTGAGGTGGTTGGGGGCATGGAGGTGAGGGGTGTCCCCGGCGGAAGGTGTAATTCGCCCTCTTGTCATGCTCATTAACGCGGTGTAATGATCACGGAGTGCCACCTCATCCACTGTAGGACTAACCGGGACATATTTCTCGGTTGGCCTAGATCTATCAACACTGGGCAGTAGACCGTCATGAAGTTCAACGCAAAACCGGTACCAAATCTCTGTAGAAATAAATTCCTGCCGCCCACACACAGATTCCACGTCCTGCTTTGGCCAGGTCAAACCCAGAACAGGTGGTCACGCAATTTTTTTCTGGATTCAAATTAAGATCTATTTCTCATTCTCGCCGTGGTGACCACGGTCGTGGCACGTCTGGTGGAGACAGTGGTCAGTCCACTCATTGTGATTACGTCCAGCGGAGATGCAATGCGGTGTTTCCGTTCGCACAGCACCGTTTTACCTATGAAGAGGAACACTAACCAATTACATTTTAATCACCGCCTCTCTTTAATCACGATACTTTGTTCAAAATAAAAAAATTCTCCAGGAATGTGGTACTGTGGTCATCCAGAACAGACCGTACAACATATAACGATGCAATGCCCCAATCCACAAATACGAAGGAGACATCGCAGCGATGGCACACCACTCCGCTGCTCCTGACACGCTTATCTTGGATTGACCACCTGAATGTGAAATTGTAGCTGTTGCTCTGGCTCTACATCATTAGCTGTACGAAAGAAGAAGACTGTTTAAGTCGACTTTTAATGATTTGTATACGAATGTAGTTAAGGGACACCTACATCTCATGAGTGAATTACAAATTTCAGCATTATTATTGTCAAATTGTAATTTCGTAAAATTCATTAAGTTTGACAAGCGACTGAACATTTACACATCTTTCAGCTCTTCGCTGTCAAAAGTCTTGGCAGTCAGAGGGGAGAGTGGGGGAGACGGTGGTGACTGAACTGGGCTGGCAGAGTGGAAGGAGAGTATACCAAGGCGAGAGTTGGAGAGTGGTTTAACAATTGGTTGACATGAGCAAAACTCGGAAAAATAGGTCACCCGACACTCAATAACTTGGCGAATGCCATTCGAGTGTTGTTTGATTGCTTGACCATACTTCACTGCACTGGTCAATGCAGGTTGTTGAAAGGGGTCTTTTCCCAAGCGGCGGGTCAACGAACGGCTTTAAATGATTTCATTTGTTACGAACGCTGCGGGACGGACGAAGCCGATGTTTCAACTCCACAGTAACGCGGAGCGAGCAAGGGAATAACTAAGTGGCTTGCGTTGTTGTTGTTGATTACATTTCACGTTCGGTCACAAATGACCAAGAGACCCCCCATGTTCTCTCATCCGCAGAGTGCCCGTCGGAGGTCATGTGACGCGGCCCCACCCACGGGGTAGTCCAGACGCGATCAGCACCTCCCTCGCTCCAGGTGAGCCTCGTACGCGCCTCTCGTGCCCAGCATCCCCCTAAACCCTTCCCCTCCTTCTTCTCGCCCCGTGCCCCCCCACGCGTCTCTCCGCTCCTGCTGTGGGCCCTTAAGTCCCGCTCTTGCCAGCATGTCCGTCACATCCCGTTTCCACGAATGCCGTGGTTGACGCGACCACACACACACACAGACAAACCCCTTATCAACTGTGAACATTGATATTTTCCATGTTGCTCATCAACATCACCGAGTGAAGCCGCCACGTGGTGCAGCCGCGCGTTCGATTAGCACGGTCGCCTGCGTACAGTGCGAAAGAAGTTCAACGTACTGTACGTACAATGGGCGATGGTTGCGGCGGCTTGTTTCTGTGTCCATGCAGGCGAGAGTCTTAGAGCCGCGCAGAGCGAGGTGGTGGTGGTGGATGTTGGGATGACCCCAGTGTCAGCAGGACGGCTGCCGGGGTCGGCACGCCGTGCCCAGCCTGGAGTCGCCCTGTGGCAGCAGCCGCTCGCTGCTGCCACGGGGAGCGGGGAGCTGGAAGGGGAGCGGGTAGCTGAAAGGGGAGCGGGTAGCTGGAAGGGGAGCGGGGAGCTGGAAGGGGAGCGGGTAGCTGGAAGGGGAGCGGGCAGCTGGAAGGGGAGCGGGGAGCTGGAAGGGGAGCGGGTAGCTGGAAGGGAGCGGGGAGTTGGAAGGGGAGCGGGTAGCTGGAAGGGGAGCGGGGAGCTGGAAGGGGAGCGGGGAGCTGGAAGGGGAGCGGGGAGCGGGAAGGGGAGCGGGCAGCTGGAAGGGGAGCGGGGAGCTGGAAGGGGAGCGGGGAGCTGGAAGGGGAGCGGGGAGCTGGAAGGGGAGCGGGGAGCTGGAAGGGGAGCGGGGAGCTGGAAGGGGAGCGGGGAGCTGGAAGGGGAGCGGGGAGCTGGAAGGGGAGCGGGGAGCTGGAAGGGGAGCGGGGAGCTGGAAGGGGAGCGGGCAGCTGGAAGGGGAGCGGGGAGCTGGAAGGGGAGCGGGTAGCTGGAAGGGGAGCGGGGAGCTGGAAGGGGAGCGGGTAGCTGGAAGGGGAGCGGGGAGCTGGAAGGGGAGCGGGCAGCTGAAGGGGAGCGGGGAGCTGGAAGGGGAGCGGGCAGCTGGAAGGGGAGCGGGGAGCTGGAAGGGGAGCGGGTAGCTGGAAGGGGAGCGGGGAGTTGGAAGGGGAGCGGGGAGCTGTAAGGGGAGCGGGTAGCTGGAAGGGGAGCGGGGAGCTGGAAGGGGAGCGGGGAGCTGGAAGGGGAGCGGGGAGCTGGAAGGGGAGCGGGGAGCTGGAAGGGGAGCGGGGAGCTGGAAGGGGAGCGGGGAGCTGGAAGGGGAGCGGGGAGCTGGAAGGGGAGCGGGGAGCTGGAAGGGGAGCGGGGAGCTGGCAAGGGAAGCAGGGAATGGGAGAGGGCAGCTGGAAGGGGAGCAGGGAGATGGGAAGGGGAGCGGAGAGCTGGAAGGGGAGCAGGGAGCTGACGAGGGTAACAGGGAAGGGGGAGCTGGGAGCCGCGTGCGGCTCCAGCCCAGAGCTCAGGTGAGGCAGCAGTTCCAAAATGTTTTGGGGCACTTTGTCGTGGTAATGTCCGGCCTCATCACAAGTCAACTCTGGGTGAAGGCTTCTCGACATCTTTCGGTCACGGGGGATCACTTCATCGCACTGAACCACGCCAGTCGGTGAGGGTCTTTCAGGCGATGCTCAGGACCGGTTCGAATATCACCCTCGATCGATGTTAGCCGACGTCGGGAATCGATGTCGGATTATTGGGTTCATATCGCCTCCAAGACACTGCACCACCCAGCCACTGAACCGATTGATAATTATTTAAACCTAAACGCAATATTGTGCTGGTGTTTTTGGTCCAAGGCATTGACTTGAATGGACCTGTACGTTTCATTATGAACCCCCGAATATCATAATACATTAACGAATTAGATTAGAAAATGTGTTTCTGTCACTGTGCGCACCCCGTGTGTGTGTGTGTGTTTGTGAACCTCTCTCGGTAAAACACAATTGTGTCGGAGCCCGAATCGCTCAGGAGACATCCGTTCTGGAGCAGACAACGCGACGCTTGTGAGGGTTGATCATTTCTGTTCCATCGGAGAGTGAGAAATTCGAATCTATTCCCTCTCCCGTGAAATTCCCTCGAAGTGTTTCGCACAAGGCACCACCAATGGGGATTTATTGTAAACGCCAAGCTCTGCCGCCTATTTGTAGGACTGCACACCGTGATGGCTTCCAGAAATACTGCCCGCAGTATCCATGAAGGATCTGGGGAATAAAAGAGAGTTGAATCCACGTCAAGCGAGTTACCGGCGTCGAGAACACTGAACACACTGCCAACGTACTGTACTGGACAGTACATCGTTTATACTGTGTATCAAACCCGAGTGGAATGATTCTGCGCGTTTACTTCGAACGCGTAACAGTGGGATTTTTGTTGTTGTATTTTAAATGTTTTTTTATTTCGCATAAAAACCACCAATTATAGAGGTGTCGCTGCGAATGGTGGCCCTTGGGGAGATGAAAGGCGGCGTCGCGGCAGCTGCGATTGGCTTGCGCGGGATTTTGGGGGTTCAAGTTCATTTATTAGGTATAGCCCTGTAAGCCATTCGGCTCTTGAATCGGGTGCAACCGCAACAAACAAAAAAACTAAAACATGAACAAGAAAACATCTTAAAGTGAATATGTGACTCAGTGCAAACAGAAATCCAAGAAAAGACAGCAAAATATTGCAGAAAAAACACCGTACACCAACGCTGTGCAAAAATCCCAGTGGGATGCAAGTCAAACAACAACAACAACCACAAGACAACTTAGATTAAGGCCGTCAGTCTTACTCCGTACTACAACAAACAAACATGGCCAAACCAGTAAACTTTTCGAAATCACCAAAATAAAGCAATGAAACAGTGATCATAGGAACTGTGACGGAATTTTCACAATAAACGACATAAACAACATGTACTACCAAACTCTGCAGCCATAGCTGGCTGCATGAGTCACTCCACAACAGCAGGAGCATCAATCGGAGTATTATAATTTTTCAATGCACCTTTAAGATCAGCACACTAAATCAAAACACAGGTCATACTTTGCAGCGATCATCCAGAGCGAAACATTTTATTTTAGGGTGATGCGGATTGAGCGACTGCCGAGTTTGTGAGGACGTGCGGCCAATGGAGAGAGATTCAAGCTCTTAGTTTCATACTCAGTGAAGAGAGATTCAAACTCTTAGTTTCATATTCAATGAAGAGAGATTCAAACTCTTAGTTTCATACTCAGTGAAGAGAGACTCAAACTCTTAGTTTCATACTCAATGAAGAGAGATTCAAGCTCTTAGTTTCATATTCAATGAAGAGAGATTCAAACTCTTAGTTTCATATTCAATGAAGAGAGATTCAAACTCTTAGTTTCATATTCAATGAAGAGAGATTCAAGCTCTTAGTTTCATATTCAATGAAGAGAGACTCAAACTCTCAGTTTCATACTCAATGAAGAGAGATTCAAACTCTTAGTTTCATATTCAATGAAGAGAGATTCAAACTCTTAGTTTCATACTCAGTGAAGAGAGATTCGAACTCTTAGTTTCATACTCAGTGAAGAGAGATTCAAACTCTTAGTTTCATATTCAATGAAGAGAGATTCAAACTCTTAGTTTCATATTCAATGAAGAGAGATTCGAACTCTTAATTTCATACTCAGTGAAGAGAGATTCGAACTCTTAGTTTCATATTCAGTGAAGAGAGATTCAAACTCTTAGTTTCATATTCAGTGAAGAGAGATTCGAACTCTTAATTTCATACTCAGTGAAGAGAGATTCGAACTCTTAGTTTCATATTCAGTGAAGAGAGATTCGAACTCTTAGTTTCATATTCAATGAAGAGAGATTCGAACTCTTAATTTCATATTCAGTGGAGAGAGATTCAAACTCTTAGTTTCATATTCAGTGAAGAGAGATTCAAACTCTTAGTTTCATATTCAGTGAAGAGAGATTCGAACTCTTAGTTTCATACTCAGTGAAGAGAGATTCGAACTCTTAGTTTCATATTCAGTGAAGAGAGATTCAAACTCTTAGTTTCATATTCAGTGAAGAGAGATTCGAACTCTTAGTTTCATATTCAGTGGAGAGAGATTCAAACTCTTAGTTTCATATTCAGTGAAGAGAGATTCAAACTCTTAGTTTCATATTCAGTGAAGAGAGATTCAAGCTCTTAGTTTCATATTCAGTGAAGAGAGATTCAAACTCTTAGTTTCATATTCAGTGAAGAGAGATTCAAACTCTTAGTTTCATATTCAGTGGAGAGAGATTCGAACTCTTAGTTTCATACTCAGTGAAGAGAGATTCGAACTCTTAGTTTCATATTCAGTGAAGAGAGATTCAAACTCTTAGTTTCATATTCAGTGAAGAGAGATTCGAACTCTTAGTTTCATATTCAGTGAAGAGAGATTCAAACTCTTAGTTTCATATTCAGTGAAGAGAGATTCAAACTCTTAGTTTCATATTCAATGGAGAGAGATTCAAACTCTTAGTTTCATATTCAATGAAGAGAGATTCAAACTCTTAGTTTCATATTCAATGGAGAGAGATTCAAACTCTAGTTTCATATTCAGTGGAGAGAGATTCGAACTCTTAGTTTCATATTCAATGGAGAGAGATTCAAACTCTTAGTTTCATATTCAATGAAGAGAGATTCAAACTCTTAGTTTCATATTCAATGGAGAGAGATTCAAACTCTAGTTTCATATTCAGTGGAGAGAGATTCGAACTCTAGTTTCATATTCAATGAAGAGAGATTCAAACTCTTAGTTTCATATTCAATGGAGAGAGATTCAAACTCTAGTTTCATACTCAATGAAGAGAGATTCAAACTCTAGTTTCATATTCAATGAAGAGAGATTCAAACTCTTAGTTTCATATTCAATGGAGAGAGATTCAAACTCTAGTTTCATATTCAGTGGAGAGAGATTCGAACTCTTAGTTTCATATTCAGTGAAG